CTCATTAGGCGCTGATATCGGCTAAATGTTCATTAAGGAACACAGCAGGACTCGCTCCCAACGGGGCTCGTTCTCCCCACACTCTGGCTGTGACTAACTGCAGCAGTGCATTATGGGATGTATAGTATAATAATTTGAGTGCTACACAACCTACAGATGGTATATTAGTAATAGAAGCTTGGAGCTCGACATCGTTTTATTGATTATTAAAAGAGGCACAGCTGGAGCGCGTTAGTCACTTATTGTGCTTTTGATGATTAATAAAATGATGTTTTTGTAATTAAAAAGTAATGTTTTGTAATTGTATTATTTTTATGGTGTATTTAGAGCCACTAAAAATAAATAAATGAATAAAAATCTAGTCTTAAAACTCAAATCAACCAAATATATTTGGGACAGGCTTTCAGTGTGGATAAAGTGCAGGTTTACAGATTCTATAACAAGGAAGAAAGAATTGTGATTATTGGCAGGCTGTGATTCCTATGTGCATAGTTAATATGCACATAGGAATGTTTGCTTATTTATTTATGTCAATTTTGAGATTAAACAGAATTAAACAGAATCCCGACTGAGTCAAAATTTTGATATTAAAGTCAGAATCTTGAGCAATAAATCAAAACCTATTTTGCTTGTTTTAGTGGCCCTAATCTTCATCCATTTCTATGTATGATTTCACAAAAATATTGAGATTATACTTAGATTTGACAGATTCTGTGTAAATTATCCCTGCTTTCCAGTTAATTCTCATGAATTCCAACTTATTTACCATGGAAACGCTCAGGAAGGTGAGCATCGTTAATGACGCCGTCAAGAGGATCTGAGGTAATTAATAAAGGGACAAAACAAAAAAAAAAAAAACACTTTCACTGCATATTTATTTCAACACAATACAATATATACAGCATCAAAATGAAACGTTTCCAAAAGAAACAAAAATAAAAACAACAAAAGCAAAAGAGAGAAAACATCACCACTGATTAGCAGTATGGCTATCACTCTTTTCCCGACGTTGACATTCATATGGCACTTAACTCAAACGTTCAGCACAGGATCTGTATTAAAATGTTTCAAATCAAACACACACAATTGCAATTAAGTATCGGTGTAACTCTTCAAATCATAAAAAGTAAAGATTCATTTTTCATCTCATATATTAAACATATTTAAAAGGCAGTAGTAGAAACAACAAAATATCTCTCTCCGGCGACACCTTTCCCGACGTTAAACGTCTTTAAGCGGTCACCGTTTTCTATTTTCCCTTCCTGAAAAAGCGACGCGGATCTCACCAATGGCAGGCTGTGGAAAACCCCCCCAAAACAAAACAATAAAACACACCGTCTCACACTCTGAAGCTGAAATAGTAGCGGTACTGAGATAGGCTGGATTCTTGAAAGACACGGAAACACATCTCCTCGAATTTACACACACGACCCTTCCTCCGCGCGCTCGCACAGATACACACTCCGACTCTTCGAGTTTCAGGCAGACAGCGACAAGATGGCCGCGTCGTCGGCGGTCGCCGTAAGTTCATGGCATCGGAGATAACAGGTTTAAATGCTTCTAGGTTTTTTTTTTTTTTCCTGTCAGGAAACACCTCTGCACCAGCTATAAGGTGAACACTGTGCATGGCAATACGCAACGCAGCTTTGCATATAACATCCTAGGTTCTCGGATATGGAGTAGTAAGAAACAAACAAACAAACAAACAAAAAAAAACAAACAAAAAAAAACAACATTCTGGTCAGGCCTTTCTGGTTACTCTAAACCCACACAAAGAAGAGGCACGATTCGTACACAGGTAACTATAAAGCTAGAAGTTTCCTTTCATATTCTTTATACAGATGGAGGCAGAAAAAGGGGATTGTTAAAAAACCCATAATCAACAAAACAAAGATTTAAATTGGGAACAGAAACATGTTTTCATTGTGGGGTTTGGCGGCGGAGCATATTGTCCGAGCTTTAAGCCAAAAGTCACACAGGCTTTAAAACAAAACCCAAACGTCCAAAGTAATCATTACCTCCAGCGGTGTGTGTCCACAGGATGTTTGAGCTGTGGTATGAGTCAGAAGGTTGTTCCTGTTTTGTCATAGATCTGCATAGCAAGGCCAGGCTCCTTCCCTGATTAGAAGTCGTCACATAAGCCGAGGAATGTAGAGTCGTCCTGATCCGTCTGCCCAGAAAATGACAAGAACCGGACTAATGCTTTCCACTTTAATGCGATAAAATGGATTTTTTGTTTTTTTCAACCGAGGTGTTCAGTCAGTATTGGTGTAACTTGAAGGCACGCTCCCCCCTCCCCCCGTCCTCACTGGTCAATATTTCCATCCCCATCTCGCAGTGCCGTCTCTAAATGAAACCAGCGGTTTGGTTGCTCGGCTGCCTACTTTCGCTTTTTTTTCATCCTCGATTTTCAGGGAGAAAAAAAGAAAAGAAAAACAATCCCTTCTTTCAGATATTGTTCTCTTTTCTGTTCCGGCCTTCATTAGTTGTTGATGTTTTCCTCTAATGTAGTGGAGGATCGGTGCCAAAGCAACTGCTTCACTGCTCACTTCAAGGAAAGCCAGGAAAAATTTGGGGCGGGCTTTCCACGGATTTATTAATCAGTTTTAACATCTCCTTTGGTTTCGATGCCCTCTCTCTCTCTTTTGGCCGGGATTTGTTTTGTTTTTACTCACTAAGTAGCTGCCCCAAAGAAATATTTGTATGGAGCTCCAATGGACTGTTTTATCTAATTTCTTGAAAGCCGTTTCTAGAGCTCAGCTTGATCCAGAAGCGTAAATAAGTATGGCGGTTTGCACAATGATGTAAAGTTGCCAGAAATGGTTTGGCAGGAGTTTCAGGACATATTCTGTGTCTCAGCAGAAATCAGGAAAAAAAAAAAAAAAAAAGAGAGACAGCAAATAATTGGAATGTCTGGGGCAAAATATCAGGAAACTAAAGATGTGAAGGAATTCTGATTATTGGTGTGAGAAACCATGCTAATAGCATTTGTGGGATTTGCCAAAGCAAACCTCTGTCAGCCTTGGGACCCGTTCGCCTACAGGTGGTAATAAGTCAATAGTTTTTGCTAAATCTTCCTGGAATATAGCTGCTCCTACTGTAACAGAGTTATGGACATTAAATCTTCTAACGTATTGTAAAAGCCAATATTATGTATTTTCCAGGCACATAGTGCAATTTTATAGCAGAACCAAGTAACTATGCTACTTTCAGTTGTTATAAAAACACTTTATGTATCAAATACGACAAAGGAAATTCGAGTTTGTAGTTTAATACCTTAAAATTGGGTCTCTGTCTCTTTAATAAACTCCTGCTCTTTTTGAAACAGGAAGTCATCGCAACACTCCTAAATTAACCCTTTAGCAAGATTTTTACAGGTGTTTCACTGAGTTCCACCAGGTGTTTGCTAATTGTTGCTTGCTAGTCTGAAGGAGCTGAGACTGCTCTGTGAGGCAGAGGCTCAGAAGCTGCAGCCCAGAGGAGGAGCTTCGTCCTTCAGGGCGGAGCTAGATCCAACCAAGCTTTTATCATAGCTGAATGGTTGCCATGGGAGATTAAATGATTTCTCAACCATGCATAAAAGAGTCAAGGCAACACTCCGGGAATTTTTTTGATGAGGGAACAACATTACAACATGACGTAAAGCTCAAAAAAGTCATTACGTAGCACTGTCCCTTTAAATGGAACTCAATCTTCACTAAGAGCCCAAAAGCAGCTCATCAATCAAATAGTGAATTTGAATTGAGACTTATGTTTGTCTGATTAGGATATTTCCCCCCTCTATTTTTAGACATTTTTTTTCAGATGAGGAAAGAAATTAAGATTTTTTTCACCGGCCGTCTGAGGGCAGGAGCTTCCTATGCCACAAAAATCAGGACACACTTAGAGCAGCTAGCACCACATAGCAGAAAAATAGTAAAGTACAAACATAAAGGAACGAAAATGACTTCTCTACATGGGGAGATACTGTTTGGTTTGGAATACTTTTAATCTATTAAAAAATATCTATGAATAATGGAGCAATCCAAACTGTAAAAACATTGAAAACATTTTCTTAAGCACTAACTTCTAACTTCAAGGTATTTTCTTAAGATTTTATATTTAGTTATGCACTAAAATATCAATAAGCCAGCATGAAAGTATTGGTTGTAACCTAACATTAGTATTAAAAAAAGGGTTATTGGTTATAAATCCTTTTCAAGGCACTGTACGTCATAAACTTCAGCAGAAAATAAAACTGTTGAGCTTTAAGATCCACTTGAGTCCAATTAGAGATACGCTCTACATGTTTCAACAGATGAGCTGAATTCCAGGTGAAATCTTTATATATTTATATATATATATATATTTTTTTTACATAGTGATATGTAGAGGAGATTATGAAAAGTAAAGCCATGAGCTCGCTTTTCTGTGGTGTTGTATAGAGTGCATTTGACTGCAGGCTCACATCGTTTCCATCACGCAGTCCTGACTGAAACCCCGTCTCAGCAGTTGCTGAATGAAATGCACACTCGTGTGGTTGAATATCTCAAGTTATTTCCATAAATGCACAAATCAGCAAGAAGTTCCTGCTGCCGAGCCAGAAGAACCACATCAATCTGCATTCTTCCTTTACCTCTGCGACTGCAAACCGTGACAGATTCAGACCAGGAATCCGTCCTGTTCGCAACGCCACATTCAAACGCAAGGAGAGCTCTCAGGAAATTCTCTAAAGAGTCTTTCTTTAATCTTTTGAGATCAGTCAGATTTTTGGTTGCTGGTTTTCAGGTTTCCAACCTTATCACCAGAACAAATCCCAAGATAAACAAGCGAGTAAGCTAGTAGCCACCTGAGAGTTTTAGCTCTTTCTCAAAAGCTACGAGTGGAAAAGGATTGACCTCATTGAGGGATTTAAGAGTTTTTAAAAACCGCTTTTCCACTTGTCTAGTTATTCAAGTCAACTTTAGTGAGCACAATTATCTCCACAATTACTGACTNTCCAGAAGCCATTGTGTCATTCCTGGTGAAGATGGGTCAAAAAAAAAAAAAAAAAAAAAACCTGAAAGCAAATTCACCTTTCATAGCAGTGGCAAAATCTTCAATTAAATTTAGAAAAATTCAGCCATTTATTTAATAAAGTAACAAAAAAAATGTTCTACTTATTTTAAGGTATAATATCCTGTTTAAGCTGACCACTGTGTGCCTGGGAACTTTTAATAAGTAATTCATGACTTCATGCTGTATAAACACCATGAACCACAGAGGCTGTGTTTTTTTTGCCACTGGCCTTTATGTAGGATAATTATCTTGTTTCCACATACAGTAATGAAGAAAAACAAAAACAAAAAAACACTATAAAGCTTTTTGTTACGAAAACTGCAGCACAGACTAATCTCCTGGGATCTCCGTAGCAACTATTGGACACATAAGATAGAAAAAACATTTCTGTCCTACCAACACAAACATAAACATGTGCTTACTAAAGTGTGGCGAGTTTCTAATTGGAACCATGTTTGGTAAAAATTGAGCTTTTCTCCTTTAAATAATCATCAACGTGGGACACGGTGGAGGATCTGTTATGCTTTGGGTGAACCAGGTGGATTCTGGGTAGAAAAGTGACTGAACATTAGGTCATTCTAAAGGACAATAATTATATGATAATTATGAAACGAGTACTGGCATCATAGCTGTTTATAACTTGTTTGTTTTGTGAAAGGAAAGGATAAACTATTATTTCTCCATAGTAAATGCACTCAAATTACATTCTCAACATAAGATTATGGCACTGAAATAAAAGTTGCATTTATTTTAAGGCTTCTTCCACAGCACCAATAGGTTCTGTATATACTTTTTTTCACAAATCTAAAACCCAATTCCATATAAAATCATTAGAAGGGGGGATGTCAGGGGTCTCAGTTTCATCTTTTATTTGAACACCAGATTCCTTCATCACGCCGTAATGTGGGCCGCCTGGTCTTCAAGAGGTAAATGAGTTAAGCAGATGGAAAGCGAGTCCCAACACCGAGTTGAACACAAAGTCACTTTATTATTAATCTAAGGAGCCTCTGATTGCAGGGACTTTTTTTTTTTTTTTTTAAAGCTGAGTCAGCAGAAGATTGCTGCTGGTGAGGCTGACGATGATGCAGTGGTAATTGACAAACTCCGGCTGCAGGAGACTCCGCTCTGACCGCACATCAAAAATCCAAATTTGAACTCAACCTATAGCAGGAGGAGAAGAAGAAGAAGAAGAAGAAAAAAAAGCCCCGGGGATCTTGGAAATACACCCCACTTCACTGGTGCCAGAAACATGAAGGCTGTGTGGGATGAAGTCACATGTCACACATTAAATTTCCTCCAAATTAACCAGACGCTGATTACTTGAACTCACAGGGTGGGTTGGGTTGATGTGTGTGTGTGTGTGTGTGCGTGTGTGTGTGTGTGTGTGTGTGCAGTGGGTTTTGGGGGGTAAGTGGTTCACCTCTGGCTGCTTTTCCAGATGAGGCACAGATCAGCTCGTTCCTCCTCTGCAGCCTCTGCTTTGATATTTTTCTCCGTCTGCCGCCGGTTGAAAAATCCTCCTGTATGCTTGTGGCTCATTCTTAAAATTACAGCTATCAGCGTGATTCATCCGTCCATTATTGTCTCAGCAAGTGGACGAGTATCCTTTTAGATACTAATCACTGTTAGTGTCTATGACCTTATGGAATGGAGAGGGGAAAAAAAAGCTTTATATCTTTCTTCCTGTTTAAATCAAAACTACAGAGACATTGAATTTACACTGAAGAAAATAAGTTTCATTAGAAATCTATAAAATGAATGAGAAAATACTGTAAGGATATCTTTTTTTGTTGTTCCGGCCACTTGGATTATTTGATTACGTCTGGTTCTGAAAGGGTGCGTTTGAAAACGACTCCGTCCTGGTTGAAGGAAACCCTTCACACGTACGTCTAAAATCAGAAACTACGAGCGGCTGGATTGAGCTTCGGAGGTTTTATTTGGGGGCGTTTCTCCGTCGTAAGGTGGTTCACCTCGCTGACGACCTTTCCCCAAAACGCATCGGTACCTCTCGTAACACAAACGCTCGATCTGTCCTCGACTTCATCGTGTCTTGTGTGGACCATTTGGTTTATCAGAGGTGTTCCTTTAGTAACAGTCTCCTCCTCTCGGCGGGTATGTCGGCACACCCGATCGTTGGCGTTCATGCAGTAAAGGTCTGTCGGGATTCGGACTGCGCCAGAAACCCTTTCCCCTACCCGAGTCTCGTCAGCTCAGAGTCTTCGTTGCTGCAGCCGAGAGCGCCGGCCTCCCGGGGGGACTGGACCTTTCCGATTTCTTCAAGGGCGCTGGCCAGAGAGTCCAGGTCCCCGGGGTCCTGGTGCTGCGCTTCCCACAGGCTCAGAATCACCGACGACGGGCTCTCCTGGCATGCAAAGTAGCCCAGGTTCCTACGGGTTGGAGAAATGGATGCATTTTAAAAATAAATCAAGGAAATGATGTGATTATAACAAGAAAGAGATTCACAGTCAAATAAATGAGGTGATGTTTGGGATTTTTTTACTATAAATTGACAGAAATTATGTTTTTTTTTTTCTTGTAGGTGCATCTGAAGGATATCTTTAGTGAATACTGTATGAAAAAACTGATTTGATTTAAAATAGAAGTTTCACAAAAAAATTACATAATTAATCACAAGCAGCCAAGAGGCCGACGGTAATCCGGTAACCCGTAGTCAGGATTAGAAAATCTGTTGAAGCTCGTGGTTGTAATGTGACAAAAACGTGAAAACTTTCAAAAGGCTTAAAGATTTTAGCAAAGCGCTGTTTTTGTGCGTTATTTTAGAATTCTCAGTTACAAAATATAAAAAGACAATCAGAAATGATGGATGAATCAAATCGACTGATGCAGGTGTGATGCATTCACATCTCTGTGTTCAGTTTGACAACAACTTACTGTGACGTCAAACGCTCAAAGTTCAACGTTTTACATCTAAAGCCAAATGTAAGGAAATCTCAGCAACACTTTGACGGGATGTGCATAAGACTGACATGACACGGTCATAAATACGACATAACATCTGTTATGAACATAAAGAAGTCTTTATGAATGTTTATGACTGTTGTCATGAAGAAAAATAATGACAATTTTAATGCAAAGTTGCTTTAAAAGTGTCAACATTTACCGAATAAAGATCTCAGTCATAAACATTCATAGACACCTTCATGTTCATATAGCAGATGCTATGTCGTATTTATGATGGTGTTCATGTCAGTCTTATGCACATCCCTTCAAATAAAGGTTAACAAAATGTCTACACATTTCCATCTCTTATTGAGTTTCACATCTAATTGATTGGCTTTATAAGAAGTTATATGATTTGTAGAGTGCTGATCCTCCATATCTTTAAATTTTGTTCTTCACAGAGGATTTGTCCGTACTGGAGACATTTTTACTGACAATGTGGTTCGCCTTTTTTGACAAGGTGGGGCCTTTCAGTCGTTTTATATATAGCATATATATTTCTTGTCTCATCTCCATATTGCTTTGTAATATATGCATCACAAGCCAGTCAAAACTCTAAAACGGAACAAGTCTCAGAGGTATTGTGGAATGTATTTTATTTAAAGGAATGCAGAGTGTGCAGCTGTTTGACGTTTTCTCTTTTCATATTAACACAATAGTTTCATCTAACACATGGCAGATTGCTGCACGTCAACAAGTGTTTTCCCTCTGAAATATAAGTAATAAATCAGCCTTTATGCTGCAGCACCTTCAAACAGTATTCACACAATTTGACACACACACACACACACACACACACACACACACGCACACACACACACACACACACACACACTTTTACAAATAAAAGTTTAAGGATGTATTTCGTTGGGGTAAACAGTGCATAACAGTGACATGAAAGGAAAATGGCACGAGTTTCAAAGTTTTATAGAAACTGAATTTTGTCTATGTTAGTACTTTATGAAAATTATAGGCATGAAAAGTTCAGATTAGATAAGCACATAAGATGTTTTAAAATGTGAAGGACCTTTTATTAGTTTCCGTTCCCTCATCCAGCAGAGGCTACTTAAACAGACTCACATTTGTTCTTTACCTTCATTACTCTTACAAAGTCTCTCCAACAGAGGGCACTGTTTCATCACAGTGACATTTCATCCTGCTGCCTGTCTCCTATTTTGCTCTCTTTTCCACTTCCTCATCCTCCTTATGTCATTATGTTCCCACACATTCACAGAAATAATTACAGAAATCAGCTTAAGTAGGTAGAGACATTCTTATGACATGCTTCTCAGCGTGTTTGACTATGTCGTAAAAAAAAAACAACAACAAAAAAACAACAACTCTGAAATCCGTTCCCATTTCTCAGCTACAGATGTTTGTTTTCAGACCCGTTTAGGCAAAGCTCCCCTAATTGTGCAGTTGGCGCATAGTTTCCCAGTTAACTTTTTTTTTTTTTTTCCCCCTCGTCTCGCGTTCCTCTAACCGAAGAGAAACAAAGGCAGTCGCGAGCCGACCGCAAAGATCTGAGAGCGGTCGTGGCAATAAGCACTTGATTATTGACTTCTCCTCTGAAGCACAAGCGGAGATCAGCGCATCTCCAAATAAATAAAATCCTCCCACGCCCACACAAACACTGACCTGACACGAGCTCCTGAGTGTTCAGCAGGGGCGGGGGAAGACGGAGCGGGCGTAGCTGCTGCTGCTGCTGCTAATGAGAAGCGCGAACACGAACACATTTTATCGCCAGAGGGCAGGGCTGTCATCAGTCAGAGACCTTTCCTCAGATTTCTGCAAGGCACCACATCCGCTTTGCAGCTACTGTATGTTAAACTGTGCTAAAGTCGACCCCAGCGCCCTGCTACCCCCCCCCCTGCCTTCTCGCCTTCTACGTACATGTTTTAGATCTATAATGAAATCAGCAGAGTGGTGCGCAAGTGAAGGCTGGTAGGCGATGAAAGATAAAGTCTGACACTGGCTTAATTCCTGCCTAAACGCGCGATTCAGAAGGAGAGCTGTGTTTGCACTGACAGAGGAATGAGTTACGCTGCGCTTCAGAACAGAAGCTTCATGGGAAGACGAGCCAGTGGAGTCGGCGTGGAACGTGAAGGCTTTCGTTCAGACCTGTCTATGTGGAGCTTCTGAGCCAGCAGCTGCCAGTCCTTCCCGTTGGCGTTGGCCGTGTCAAAGGTGGCGCTGATCCGCTGCCGGATGGACGGGGGGATTTTGAAGGCCTTCGATCCTGTCTGAGAGGTGATGGTGCAGTCGGACTGCGTGAAAAAGGGAACCGCTCCTTTTTCGTTCTGGAAGCGGAAGAGGAGGAAAGAGAGAAGATGAAGGACAAAGAGTCACCGAGACAATGCAGAAAAGTTCATTCAGCGAGCTCTTGAATCAGATCGATCACATCACAATCCATGTATACCATTTGGTATTTACCCTCCTACAGGTTTGAATGTTCAATTGAATGCTAAGATCATCAACCAAATTTTGATGTCAGACTAAAGACTTCGTTCACACAGCAGGCGAATGCGACTCAAATCCGCTTTCTTTGCCTATTTTTTTTTCTGCGTACACGCACCTTTCCCACTCCAGTCTGAACATCCCAATACTGATATTTTCATTTCCCCCAAAATTCAATCTGTGTCACTTCCATATATGGTACTAATTTGAACACTTATCCAACATTTTCCAAAGCTCTGCAGTCTCAACAGTTAGGTCTCATTTGGCTTTTATGTCACCGATGTGAGAAATGCCTCGTTATTTTGCACAAGAAGAAACCAGACGCGGTAAATGTGGATGCAAACAATGGCTGAAAATTATGATTACAAACTTAAGAGAGACGTCTGTCGCTGCAGCGCATCAGATCACAATCCCACCACTCTTCGCTCCGACTGCATCCAAACAGACTTCCCTGCAGAAGCTGCAGTCGGCGCTCCACAAAAGCCCGTCGCTATTAGTCGTGCTTTCTTTTTATTAGCTTCCTCCGGGTTGTCCTGGTTTTGTAACAGTTCTCTCAGTTTTCATTGCTGAACAAACTTTAAAATTTCATCCACTGTTATTTCCGTAACCTGCTGTGTGATGTCTTCTGCGCATGAGGGTTGCTTTGAGGTCATAAACCATTCAGACAGAAATTTGATTTAAATAGTAGTAATAAAGGCCAGGCAAAAAAAAATAAAAAAAAAATTTCAGAAATAAAATCTGAATTGAGCATCAAACCCTGCTGTGTGCATGTAGCCAAAGATAACCTTAACATTCAAACGATGCTAATCTGTGATCAACCACATATTTCAGTTAGTTAGTTAGGACTGGGGGAACTGGGAGAAGGCAGTGGAGCTCGACTTTTCCACAGATTATCTGTCTTATACTATCCTGTCATGACAGAGTGAGAGTTTTAACAAGTATGTAAAAAAATATATAATTAAACATGTATTTCTGTTAAAGCTACTTCAGCTTTAAATACGACTGAGGATCTGTGCAATCACCTGAAACAAGCTGTTCATGCTAAACAAGGTTCTGCAGTGTGTTTGTGTGTGCAGTGGGTGATTACTGTCTCCCACTGAACCACGCTGGCTTAGAAAACTGTATTTACTCTCCACATTTCTGCTTGATATTAAAATTCGCTTGACGAACTGAAACATGTAAGTGACAAAAAATAAATAAATAAATAAATCAGTAAGTCTTTCAGATACGTATTCGCAGCGCTGCATCAGTGCGGCTCACCTCCACGACAGACGTGTAGATCTGGAGTATCTGCTCCTCTCCTGTGACCTGCCGCACGCTGATCTTGCAGGACAGCTGAGACGAGGAGAGGCTGTAGCGCTCCAGAGAGAAGGCACACTGCAGGGGACACCGGTTACTGGCCCACACCTGAGAAAAGGAGAACTCCTGCGGAGCCGAGAGAGACGGAGGGCGGGGCGGGATGACGGGATTAGGCTGGGTGGACGGGAAGACTCGTTGAATTCGACATGGGTCGGCTAATGTTTCTGAATCTCACTCTGCCCCTCTGCATGCTTAATTACGAGTGAGCGAGTGGCCTTGTTAGCCGATCGATGACGTTAACGAATCAAGAAGCTTCACCGGGAGTTATAAAGTATCTTGTACAGAGAGAAAATGCAATAATTTGAGAAATTTCAGGTGTTATGTGGAGGATGTGCTGCTAAATCTAAAAAAAAAGAGATGTTGCTAGCATAATGCTAGCACCCGTTATAAATATTTGATTTATACTCTATAAGTCAGGATTCACCTATTAACGTTCCCCTTATTACTCTAAATGTTTTCTGTCTACAGAAGTAACAGCCAACAGTGTGTACCTTGAAGTACATTTTTTATTTTTAAATCAAATGAAACTGAAAATTGGGATAATATGTTGGATTCAACATTGCTACCTCCATCAGTGTCCCTACAGCCCTTTGTTCCTCTCTTTTATATTAGATTCTTCTTAGCATTAACATTCTGGAAACTGAAAATAGACAAGTCAGACCTAAAGGAGAAACATAATTCAGTATTTTTCAGAAATAAATGAAAGTGAAGAGCACGCTTTGTCACTATTCCACTTGTTCTGAATGTACATGGACGTTACGGTAAGAACCTATTTGCTTGTCGCCATTTCCTGACTTGTGAAGATAAACACGCATGATGACTCGAGTGGCTTGTTTTGTCATGTTTCTCAGTCTGAGGATGGGTTCAGAAATATCCATCTCTCTGCGCCATGTAATATTTATGCTGCAGGAACACAGGATGCTCAGGGATTACCAATAAAACATTTCCAAACACACTGATCGACTTTAAAAAGTACAAACACAAGCAAATCTTTATCTGAATGATCGTAGTACCTGCGATTTTGCAGAAAACAAGTTATTATATTCCTACTAAACAAATTGCAGGTTCCATTTAACAAAAAAAAACAAAACAATAAATTACAGTGTAAGATTACGGCAACTGCAATAATACATTAATTTGGTTCACCGCGGTGCTGGGGGCAAGTGCTAAGGGTGATGTTTTACTTTATACAGTGGCGTTCTTAGGTGGAAAAACATATTAATAGAATAAAAACACATTTATCATCTTAAAAAGGCAGCATTTTATTTCTTTCCTTGGGAGCTTCTACATCCCACTACTGTTTATGCAGGAAAAATAAGGAGTAATACTAATCATTGAACTGTTTAGTTTGCAGAACGTTTGTTACAGATCATACCACTTGGTTAAGAGAAGGAAAAAGTGTAAAGCAAAGTCCACGACATCAGAACTAGTTCATTTTGAGCTTTAACCTCAACTCTAAATATATATATTTTACTGAACTGCATTAGTTTGAGGATTTATTGTCTTATTCTTCTCCTCTCCTCCACAGTCCTGCTGCTAAGCTTGTATCTTAATGCCGATCTTTAGACGGGGATCAATGTCGTGATTATAGAATTAGGGCGAGAGATCCCTTAACGCTCACAGTTTGCTCTGCATTTCCACCTCAGATGTAGCAAAGCTTTAGAAAGCAGAGCTACATCTGCTGAGCATATGCAGGCTGGGGCACGCTGTTCCAGCTGCCGCCGCTCGCTGCTGCGTGACCCAGACGCTGCTGCAGCCGGAACGGGTCAAAACGCAGTTGTACAGATGAATCATCCGGTCTTCAGACCCATCAGAAAAGGACAGCCACTTATAACTGCCTGCTTTAGGTGGCAGTCATGTCTGAATTAGAGCCCGTAGCCGTCTTCCTGGTCGAGTCTTCGGGTTTCCTCGTTGGTATTCTGGAGGTGCTACGGTGGGCTAATTCTGCTAATAAGATGTCGCTGGTGGGATAAACATCACAGGGCAGAACAGAACATGCAGCATGAAGACCCCTAGGAAGATAACTATGATATATCTGTGTGTGTGTGTGTGTGTGTGCGTTTTCCTGCCTACTAGTCATAATTAAGTTTGTAATGGTGCGTGTGTGGGTGAGATAGCTAGCCTCCTACTGTGCCCTGCTGCTGCCCTTTAGCTTTGATGTGACCAAGCAAGCAAAAGGTGTGTGTGTGATGGAAGAGTGAGGCTGCCGATGAAAACCAGGGCGAGCGCCTTCTTTTCATGCACATGGTCGCCACGGAGCCGCTTGCAGTTTCGACTTTAACGCCGATAAACTCGTTGTGAACACTTCTCGCCATTTTGCGCAACAGTCAAGGATGGAAACAGTCCAACCTGGCAGGTGGTGAAAGGCTTGATGCTCCAGAGTAACCGCGGGACGTCCTGGATGGACACCTGGAGGCTGAACGTGTTCCCCTTGAACAGCAGAATTTTGGGTTCTTCGAGGAGCCGCCCGCCCCTGCTGCGCTCCCCCACCACCACCTCCTGATAGGGAACGAGACAATTGAACAGGATTTTTGTTTTTGTCTTTGGCACAGAAGGAAAGGAAGATGGTTGCCTTACAAAATAATTTATTTTGCTACATTTTTTACCATCACAGCTGCAACAATTGAAGGTACTGCTAAATACTGCCAAGATAATACAAATATTTTTTTTGGCCGATCTGGAAACACCAAGTGAGAGACAACTGGAACTCATCGTACGTTTCATAAAAATGGAGGTGGCAGCAGCATACTGTGTGGATGCTTTCATTTAACAAGGACAGGGAAGAAAACCTCCTATAGTTGCAAAAGACTTGAGAACCTTCCAACAAGATAATCACATCAAACTTACAGTCAGTTCGCAAAACAGAATGGTTTACACCAAAGAAAATCTGTGTTAAAGTGGCCCAGTCAAAGTCCAGACCTATTTAGATAAAATTTTTAATTTGTGGGAAAACATGACACTTGAGATGAGCATATGCCCTCCATTTAATCAGACTGAGCTCCAGCTATTCTCCTGAAAAATCAGTTTTAGCCAACAATTATTTTGTTGCCTAAACAACAAAAATGTTTTTCTTTTTTTCTTTTCATTGAAAATAAAAAAAAACCAGAAAAGTTTTACAGGAAAAATTTCCTGAAAAATTTTTCAGGGAACTTTACAGTGAAAAGATTTGACAGTGTTACAGTGTGTTCACACGGTGAAGACTTGAACAAACTCTACAGGTTTACCTGTAGATGTTTTTTCTGTCTTCTAATGTCGACAGAAGAAGGATTAACAACAAACTTTGTTGTTTTATTTCCAAGGCAAACTATGGTTCATCTAAAACACAAAGGCTTCCTTTAGCTTCTCAGATTTTCACCCAAGTTTTTTTCCAGTTTTCATTTTTGACAGTAATGCACCCGTCCTTAAGTTCAAAGTCTAGATTTGGTCAAAATGAGCGGGTGGAGAAATTCTCTCTTGGCTGTGATGCGGCTCCCTCCTGATATTTTCACAGACAAAAAAGACGAAAAGATTTCTCATATAAAAATAAAACTCTGAGCAGAACAGATGAATGTTAGATAACCTTATTGCAGAACACAATTAAAATGGCTCTGTGCTGAAAACCAGATCAAATTTTTAAAAGAAGTTGTCAAATAATAAAAGAGAAACATGATTCAAGCAAACGATGTTTGCTTGAATTTTTTATGACTGGCTGGGAAACAAAAGTGTGTAAAACACCAAGGAGAGAAAAAGAGTGTGAAAAAGTGATTCAATCAATTTGTACTTGAAAATGTGTTTTTGATGGTCTTGCTATATTAAAAAAAGATCAAATTATATTAAAAAAGTAAAAAATGTCAGCAGTAAACTAAGGCCTGCATGATTTCAAACATCTGCATAAAATAAGTAATCAGTATCTCTATAGTCATAGCAGCATAAAGGGCACAATATTTCACTTAATATCTAAGAATTAAAGAGAGAAATGCAGCCGTGTGGAAAGCAGCCCTCAATAAATTGTCGGTGCTTGCCCTCTGTTTCCAGACAAAATAGCTGCAGTGAAAAAAGGTCTACTGCATGAAAAATTAGCCAAATGCCAGCTTAGAGGCAGGTGGACAAAAAACAAAAAAAAACTGAAGGACTTTGTCTATAAAAGAGAAAAACAAAGGTTCTTCTCTTGGCAGACAAGCAAAAAAAAACAAACAAACAAAAAAAAACAAACCAAAAAACAAAAGAGGTTGACAGTAATTAAAAGCTTCCCAGGATGACAACCAAAAGAGGACACAATAATCTGACAGAGAACAAAGTAGGCCACACCGAGAGGAGAACAATGGACAAAAACCGCAGCAAAAGGAAAAATTACCTCAAAGCACAGATCAAGCATTCATACCTCATTTTGTTCCTTCTGTGAACCATGTTGGGGTTTTCAACAGATGTGAAGATTCATCAATTATCTGATTATGTGAGCATGAGCTGACATTTTAACAGCTAATGTTTACAGTGCAGTAAACGAAGGATAATCCATGTTAAATGATAAACATTGGCTAACAATTATTATAAAACAAGTACATACAGCATAACAATGTATTTTTTTTACTGCTATAAGTATATGGGTAATGATCACTGAGTTGATTTAATGTTTCATACCTTTGCAGTTTTAGGTTTTTGGTGTCTGGCATTTTTATGTATGAAAAGGAGCTTACAGCAGCGCCTATTCATCAATTTGTACCCGACCTGAAGTTATTTTCTATAATCTATTCATAATACACTGGAAAGAAAATACATATGACTCCAGTAGTTAGTATCTGTCAGCAGGAGATTATGCAGTTATTCTGTTTGGATCAGCATAGTGCAGATGTGGGTTTGCATCCTCTCTGCAATACTTTAACAATAACAATACTTTAAAGCTTTCTGACGCTTTCGCTTTTAACTATTGTAAAAAAAAAAAAAAGAAAAAAAAAAGAAATGGCTCACATCCCACCTTGATGGTAAGCGCCATCGCTAAGCTAACAAGGCCAAGCAACCATGAAGTGATGACGGCAGGATTTGGACCTGAACTCAGCTCAGTTCGACCAACTGGATGTTGCCTAAGATTGATGAGGTCCAACCAGCAGTGGACAAACAGGGCCGTCATTAATCTTCCCGTAAGTTGCCTGCATGAGACACAAGTCAGTGACTCGGGGATCTCATGGATGCATTCTTCAAGCTCCCAGACTCTATCTGCTCTGGTCATTGACTTGAAACACCAGGTGTCAAAGCCCAGCCCTCGAGACTTTCAGATTGTGTCTCTGAAATGATTTAAAAGGAACACTGTGGAGGTAATTTAGCCATTCGACTCAAGTGTGTTGGACCCCGGGGATGCATCTAAAAGTTTCTGGACACCGACCCTCGAGTTACTAGAGTGACCGCCTGGCTCAGTCTTTGGCTGGGACTGTTTGGACTGACAGAGAAAATGCCACAGCTGAAACCAGATGAGGGAGCGTCTCCATCGCAAACGACCAGGAACTTATCATCATGGAGGCTCGAGGAATCCAGGAGCTCTGAGTAACGCTGATCAGCGCATTTGGAAATGGGGACATTTGTTACCCCAAAGTCCTGAATCAGAGGGACCAGAAGGTACTAATGGAGTTTGGCTATCAACGTCATTTTGATTTTTTGTGCTGCCAGTTTCTGCATTAACGTTTGCTGTCCAGAAAATTAAATTCTTCCCTGAAGTTCAAGCCTTCCAGACTAGTATCTGCATACTTTCTCTTTTTTTTAAAATTCAATTTAAAGTGTTTCTATTAATTCTTTGGTTTATAGACACAAACAGTGTCTATTATGAGCTAAAATAAGAAATACTTTTTTCATCAGCACAACTAATGGATGGAGTCTCTCTTCGCGTTTCTTTCATTCATGGTTTCACTTATTAGCCGTAGTTTTCTTTTCTCTACTTCTGAGCAGTTTCCATCGGACGACGTCTGAGATGCAGATTCATTATGGTTACATATGAATATTTAACAGCTGTTGATTTTAACACGCAGCAGCTTCTGTAACAGCTTTAAATTACATTTTAAGGAAATTGTAGAAAACTTTGTAAAATGACTTTAATTGGAGTGAGAAACTGTGTTATCTGCTGTATGGTTTTCACAAGATGTCAACATTCTCACTGTACGGTAATTAAAATTCATAAGCATAACACGGACTAACCAAGAATAGAAAAAGTGGGACTTTCATCTGCTTCCATTCACTTACACTATATCGGAAGAAAACAATGCAATTAGCACACTGAAATGACTTGCTATGGTGTTATGTGTTGTTGGAAACAAGCAGAATGAAAATGGAAAAAATATTTAAGAGCTGAAAAATATACATATTTGTAATACTTCACTTTACTTCTATAAACCGAGACTGTGAGGTGTTTCAATGAAAATTCTTCTCAGGTAGAAACCTCCCTCAAAAAGGAAAAAACAACAAAAAATCTGCACTTTCTTTTTTTTTTTGACTGTCGATATACTTTTTATCGATGCTGGATGTGTGCAATTGTGTAGTGCACTTTGCAGATAATTCTGGGAAAAAAAAATAAGACAATGCCAAGTGTGCAGGCTGCCTATCGATTTTCAAGCTCACAGGGGAAATTATTGCATGAAGCACAAAAGAAAACAAAAGCAAGGAAGAAAAACAGAAAAAAAAACCCACAAAGAGACCAAATAACCATGTGTCACTGATGGAGAAGTAGAGTGAGTTGACTCTTGGCACCTACATCCAATTTCTCGTTGAGTACTTGCAATTTTGTCTCTCAAATGAAGCTAGTACTGATGCAGAACAAGTGGGTAGTGAGAGGCAACTAACGGGACCATTTCAGAAAAACCTCTGGTTTTGTTTGTTGGGCTCAGATGGTACAATGGCTGCTGCAGAATTTCTCTCTGACCGAAAAGAACGGTTTCAAAGAAAAGAAAAAATGCAAAAAAAAAAAAAAGGACTGAACCGCGTTTCCACATAGCTCCAAACTCAAGAACAAGGCGGTGAACCCCCGCTTCGGGTGTCGAGTTGTGCCTCATTTTAACGTGTTCAAGTGCTTTACAGATGAAATGTGTTGCAGAAACACATTTAATTAACAGACAGCAAATTAAACCGCGCAAATAAAGGGCAGGGAAGCAACCCTGGAGCATCTGTTGTCTTTGTAATTAAAAGTCCTTCTTTGTCTCCTCGTCATCAAGCGTCTCCCAGTGGCAATGTTACTTAACAAGTGGATCTTCAACGGAGCGCTGCACAGGCTGCTTCCACACGCAACACTGCTGGAGCCTTATACCATTTGATAAACTTGTATGTTACACAAGAAATCTTCAGGGAGCCATTGCTTTTAGTCTTACAACTAATGCGCTTTAAGACCCACAGTAAGCAGTTTGTTGAAAACATTCAGCACTGCGTGGATTTTCACAGGTATATGAAATTCATGGTGAAATTAGAGCTACCTCTAGCCCAGCGATAACGTTTTGTAACTTATAGGGAATTCTTTATTATTTGTATAAAGCACTGAAATAGCATTG